AACTGACAGTTTCTTTCCTGGGCTGTCTGGCCTGTTATTGTTATGCTAATGTCGCCTCAGTGAATACTAAGGTGACTTTATAGAATGCCAAGATGTGTGGGAGCAACATTCTATAAGCCAATTAATAATATTTCCTAGAGTGGAGAAATCACCCGTCTATTTGGCAACTAACCAACGTAAGTGCCTCATGGATTAAGGAAGGATGAGCAGCAGGAGGTGAAATCTCTAGGGGGAAATGCAGTGTTTGAGCATCAGTAGTTACCCACCAATCATTTAAGAAAATTAGCTCTTCTTCAACAGAATTATATGGTCAGGCATGTCTCCTTAACCATCCAAGGAAAAGAGATTCCTGGCCAGGTGACTTCAGAATTCTTTTCTACTCAGCAGCAGGAATATCCTTCTGAGAAAGATGGATGCAGGGCCATTTCAGACTTCGTAGGTCCTACCTCCTCCCCACACCACATGAAACTTATTTAAATGCACCCACATTCTCATTAAATATATACTTTTGGGGTGAACATTTTGGAAGAAAATTTATTAATTTGCTTTCAAAAATATGTGATTGCAGGTCACTCATTTAATTTATCATTGACTATAATTTCTCAGAAATGATTATGTATTCTCTGGGATGCTTGCAAATTGTTTTCAACCATAGCAAAACATGACAATGAGTGAAACTGATGCAATGTTTCATTTTGTAGACATGGAAATAAACATCTAACAAGTTTGATTTGGCGATTTAGTTTTTGTAGCCAACTTTTTTCCCCCAAGATTTAATCATTTTAGTAAGACCTTGAGAAGGTCCTGGCCCCAGGCATTGTGTTTATTGCATGCAATAGACAGAATGGCCCAGGATAGATGCCCTGGTTTCCCTTAGCTTGATGACTCTAGCCATTATGATTTTCTACCATATGCTCTCTCTCCTATTTAATGTTTTCCAAACAACCTTCTGGTTGTAACCTGACCATCAATAACTTTCCTACAGAAAGAAAATGTGCTGACCAATCAAGTCCAATATTGCAAATAATAAATGTGTGTGCATATGAATAATTGCTATCCATAAAATTTATTGAATGGTTACTGTATGTCAGCACAACTATATACTTTATTCACTTCATTTTCCCCCCTCTAATATATATGTCTTTGTGCTTTATGAAAACAATTGATTAAGGGAAAAAGAGAGAAAGGGCAGAGGAGATAAAGATTAGAGAAACAGAAAAATAACAGACAGTAGGGTATAGTGGCTCAGCACTGGATTTCTAGAGAAATTACAGGGTTCTCCTCCCAGATCCTCCTTTATTTAATTTCAGTACAACCTTGGGCAAGTTATTTAACATATCTGAACTTTGGATTCATTATCTACAAAATGGAACTAAAAATAGTGCCCGTTTTAGAAAGTTCTTATGAAAATTAAAGGATCTGATATACTTAGAAAAGGGCCTGAGAAATAATGAATACTCAATACATATTAATTATTATTATAAAATCTACTTGAAAATTGAATCTGAGTTTGGATCTCCTTCAGCCTTAGTTCCGAACATTCCTGGAACCAGTGGGGGTTTAAAATAAATCAACAAGTTTGTCTTGAATGTTACGATGCAATGCAATCTATGAAGAGGGTAAGTTTGACTGGTTGAGGACCTGGGAAGGGTTTTTGAATTTTTCAATACTCAACACTTCATTTTATTTCTGTTGCTTTGAAGTTAAAGCATTTTAAGGCATTTTATTCTTACTCTTTTGAAAATACAAAACATTAAACAAAGGAGGGAAAAAAGCACACTCTATGACTTAGACATTCTAGAAGTTACAGAATCTTCAAAGTTTCTAAATGGTGGGCCAGCTGCTTCCATCTCCCAATACAGAACAGATTTTCAGCCCAGAACTCACACCATTCCTTTCATGTCCTTCATTAAAGGATTTTTGCATAGTAGCAACTCCAGCTTCATTTCTCTTCTTTCTCTTTTGGCCAATATCTTATCTGGCAGCATTAACAGTTAAATATTCATTGGTCAAATTAGAATTCAGCCAAATGCCTTCCTATTTAAAATGGCTGGGTGAATATAGCGATCATTTGTCAATGTCCCCTTCTGAATTGTTAGTGAGACAGACTTGCACACATTATTTGAGACAGAAAATGAATAGTTTCAGTTGCTATGGTTACGGTTAGGGTATGGGGTAGTTGTTTACAAGTTATCTTTGTTTTTAGACTCTATGCATGTGCACATGGTGTGCATCTACATATGCATGCACACACGTGCTTGGGTATTTAAGTCCTAGATGTTCTGGAAAAGTACTCATTTCAAATATTCTGTCCCAATGTCTCCACTAGTCTCCTTATCATTGTTAGATTATTTGTTATGATTTTCTCTTCAGTAGTTATGAGTTCATATATATCACCAAAAGGGTATCACAGATATGTTATGGCTACTATCCTCAAATGCTCTGAGAATTAATAGATTTTTGCCTATATTGAAAATTCATTTCTCAAATCACAGTTTATTTTGTTATGCTTAAAGAGTATCTGTTTAAACAACAAAATAATCCCACAACAAAAACTAACCTGAGGGAAATAGTTTAGCAGTTTATCATTTCTCTAGATTCCTTAAACACTACTAGGCAGAGCTAATTGCAAGCAACAGCAATCAAGTCTGGCAGATTAAGGAGAAAAGGTACTTCATTATATGAGGAGATCTCTCAGACTCACAGTAGGGCTAGAAAATCAGGTTCAGTCTAAACTTCCAGCAACAACACCCTAAATTACTCCACAAAATAAACCTGATAAAACATTTGCCTCCATCACATTCTAGATGCTCCAGTTTGTCGATCTGCCTCTTGAACACCAGGAACTCGACTTTACTGCAGCCACCATTGTCCACCATCCCAATGCCAAAATTCTACACTAGGTGTGCAGCCTTTTAATCAAGATAGTAATCCCTGATGCCTTCTTTACCAGGAAATGGATTCTGCCCACAACACTCATCACTTCTCCTTTTAGGTCTCTTATGGGGTGTGTCTGATTGGAGGAGCTGGGTCATTTTACTGCACCGTGGCTGGGAGGGAAGGCTGGGAAATGAGTCATCTGGCTGTTACCAGGAGGAGACTAGACTCAAAAAAAAGTCCTCAAAAAAGTGTAGGACTTCAAAAGATGCTGGAAAGCAGGGAAACATAAAAAATGACCTCTATAAATACAATCTGAGTGTATATAATGATCTTTTAGTTAACACAGTCTTTTAGTTAAAATAGTCAGTTAAATCAACCGGTTAATTCATTTAAATAAAGAAGAAAGTCTCCACGTTTCTATCTAAGGCCAATTCTTCTCCTTGTCTACTAACTTTATCTTCTCGCACCTCCTCAAGAGCGTTGCTCCAAAAGTACATTAGGAACTCTACTGCTACTACCAGATTATTTTCTGAATATAATATATACATTATTCTGAATATAATCACCAGAATATAAATATGCCATTATTTCTCTCATCTTAAAAACAGACAATCAAATAGCTTTCTATCTTGTCTCCACTCCTCCTTCCAGTTACTGCCTTCCAGCTACTGCCTCACTCTGATACGTTTAGCAGCAAACTCCCAGACAGAGTTGTCCACATTTGTGATTGCCCATTCATCTCATTCATTCTCTTTTTAACTCACTCCAGTTGTGCATTGGCCTCCACCACGCTACAGAAATTGTGCTATGGAGTTTGTTGATGAATTCCTATTGCTAAATCCAATAGGTCAATTCCCATTCTTCTTTATACTTGAACTGCCAGAAGTATTCAACAGATCATTGTCTCCTCTTTGAACAACATATTAATTTGGCTTCCAGTTCATCACACTTTTCTGTTTTTTCCCTACCTTTTTGGTCACTTTTTCTCAGTCTCCTTCTCCAGTTCTTTCAAAACCCTAATGGCTAACCATTGGAATATTTAGCGCTTCTTCTCTTCTCTGTCAACACACTCTCTTACGCAGGCCTGTGGAATGCATTTATGTAAATACCATCAGCACACTGAAGATTCCTAAATTTATAGCTCCCGGATTTTCTCCTCTGTATGCTAGACTCATATATAAAGCAATCCCGCAACATCTCTCTTAGAAGTCTAATAGGTGTTTAAATGTATATGACTAAACATGAACTCTTGACGCCTACCTTCTATACTTCCCCTTTTTACATATTAGGAAACTCAACCACCTGCCTAGGTCAAAAACTTTGGGGTCATTTTTTATTCTTCTCTTTTTTTCACATGCTATACCCAACCCATTAGCAACACGTGTTGATTCTACCTTCAATATCTGTATATAGACATCAATAGAGATCTAGAATTCAGCCTTTTCTCATTAACTCCACTGCCACCACCATGTCAAAGACACAATCATTGTTCACATTGATTAGTGCAATAGTCTCTTAACTTAACTTTCCTGCTTCCATCCTTGTATTGCTATAGTTTATTTTCTACACAGCAATGAGAGTGGTCCTTTAGAAGTACAATGACTATGTCACTACTAAAAATTCTCATCATGTTTAGAATAACGATGAAAATCCTCACCCTTGAGGATAAGCCCTGCATCATGTGGCTTTTGGTCTTCTCAGGTCACATCTAACATTCGTCTTCCCACACTCTCTTCTAGCCACATTACCTTAAAAAGAAAGGGGGGGAAATTACATATTAAAAAAAAATTAAGATAGAATGTGATAAGTTTAAGAGTAATGGCTCAAACCTAGTATTTGGTGAGAATCAGAGACAGGAGAATCAAGGAAGTGATCATAGAGAAGTTAACACTTGAACTGTGTTTTAGGAATAGAAACAATGTTGAAAAGCAGAGATGAGAAGATGGAAGGCATGGTTGAGGTGTTAAACAACCTGGAAGACACTGGGCACCTACTATGTCCTAGAGACTAGGTAGTGTAAAAAATTGAGTACAGATAGGAGAGCCTTTGTATAACTGGGGTATATGTTCTTGGAATTCTGGGACTCATGAATATTCTTAATCAGACAGGCAGTTAGCTACTACAGTTAAGGGGAGGAAAACAACATGACATCTAGTGAGTGCACTAGCTAATGTCAATGCGTAGCTACTCTTTTCTCCTTTTTCTCCTACCTTCCCCCATACCATGCACAGGACTTAATGAATCAAATCAATTTTTAAATGTTGTATTAGTGAATGAATATTCATATTATTGAATATCTAATATGTGCCAAGTACTACGTAGGCACTGGGATACCAATAATCTAAGAATAATATTTTAAGAAACAGAACTGCTTACAATATTCTCAGTCTACTTGCTTACTCAGGATGATAGACTTAAGGCAATCACAGAAATATAGAATGCAGGGGAAAGGACTAATTTTGGGTAAAAGAAAGGCCTCCTAGCACTGCTTGCTTTCTAATGCTACCTTCAAATATCTAAATTATGATTCTTCAGTGTCTTAGCTTTGATCATTTCTCAGTCTCCTTGCTCTATAACTATTGCAAGTGTTTCCTTCATAGAGATCCATAAAAATATTCACCCCAACAGTGTGTTTTGGTAAAGAGAATATTTGAAACAACAGACATTAATTATATGGTTATGCATTGTTGAGTCTCAATTATAAAACCAGGAGTCATAGTACATGCCATACCCCAAACACACAGAGACAGGGAGAAAGAGAAAGAGAGAGAGACTTTGGTAAGTTTCCCAAAATTTCCAAAGTGTATACTCAGTTTTTAAGGGATCAGTAAATATTTGCTTGTCTACTGTGAGAGTGAAAATTATACCTATGTGAAACTCAGGAAAATATTATCAAACACATCATATGTAGAAGAAGTTAGTACTCCTTTTTATTTAGTGCTTATTTTGTGCCAGACGTTAGGCTGAATATTTTATATGTGCAAACCTAAATAATTTTTCAACAACCCAGATTGTAAAAATGATGCTCAAACTAGGATGTTTCCACAGGTAATCCACCTAGAGAGTTGCTGACAAAGCAGCTGAGCATGGATGCCCAGGAGGTGATGTGATTCTTGTGCCCTTCTGGACGCTCAGTTATTCACCCACGTTAGGCCTTCACTAACTACAGGAAGGGAGAGAAGAGGGCAGCTTGGAACCCATGTGATCAGAAGCCCCTGACCTGTATGCTGGGTGGTGAGTGGGGGAGAAACTGGGAGAAGACACGGAGAGAATTGTGGGAAGTCCTGCTGTGGGAAGATGCTGTCATCTGGGGAGGGGTTAGAGGGAGCCTCCCGCAAGGCCAGTCCCATGTCCTGACTCTTCTTAAGTGGCCGCCTGGGTGAGGAGAGCAGGGAGTGCATGGAGAGGCTGGGGCACAGCAGAGGACATAATACTTTCCTTTTTAGAGATCTAGAGGAAGATCTTTTAAGGGTCAAAAGGAATATCTCATATTTCATTGATGGGAAAAACTTGCCAGCGATGACACTCACCAAATAAATTCTTATAAATTTTTTCAGAATTTTGAATTCCTTTTCTGATGGGCAAGGGGTGCAATCATCCTCAGTTTATTCTGCCACATTCTTATAAAATGTCTCTTATCTAGTGCTCCGTGTAGAAGAGACTCGAGTGCCTATTTGCCCTAATTGGGAAATACCGAATTAACATGAGATTGACTATTTAACTCTGCTGGATTTCAAAGAAGCTTTTTCATGTGAAGATATGGGAAATAAGGAAAAGTACCACAAATCGTATCAGCAAATATGTTTCTTAAACGATAGACATGGAACCAGGATAATCCCTCTTTAAATTAAAATTCTGGTTTTCTCCCCTCTCCATCCCTGTTGTGTCTTTGTAGCTTCATTTGTTTCTGACTTAGGGAATTGTAGCAAATAGCAGATGGGAGAGAATCTGCCGTTTTCCACTGTGCCTGGAGCGGAGAGTAATGACGGCTGTGCTCTCGGTCCCCACTGGAAGCTCCCTTGATAAATGTCAATGAAGTCATCTTTTCCTTCCCAGGGAGGAGGTGATATTGTGAACCTGCCACTGTGATCATTAATACAAGACTTCTCTTCCTTTACTGGGGACAACCCGGGGGACCGTTCCCAAGGCTTTGTGATGGAGGCAGAAATTGACCTTTCTAGAGAATCTAGCAGGTCCATTAGAGAATTCATTATGCAGGGTCTAGCCAGAGAGTCTCTATACTCTCTTTGGCAAACAAGTTGGTTAATTCAATATTTGACGTAGTAACATATCTTCTCACATTTGTAGTTGAATTGAATTGGCCCTGTCCCAAATGACACCTGGACAGGAATACCAGAGGGTCTCCAAACTCGTCCATATTGACCAGTCTCATGTACAAGTCAAGTTCAAGGGCACCTACTGAGCGCTTAGGCAAAATGTTAGGTGCTGTGGGGAATGCACAGATGACTGATGCCTGGCAGGACTGTCCTCTTTCTCCCATGACAGACTTCATGATAAATAACAATGCTGTGAATGAACTGTCCCTTCCCAGACACTGACAAATATGGACCATGCATTCACATGGAAATAGCCAATGATGTGGAAAGAAGTACAAACTTCCTCAAACTCTTTATAGACTTAGAGAAGCTTAAATACTGTGCTAGCATGGCAAACAAATTTGGTTTTTGATTAGCTAATTCAGCCATGATCCTAATCAGTCCTGAGAATAAAGGAGAAGGAAGGAAAACTGGCAGATATCAAATATCCATCTTCTCCTGGGATTTCACCGAGATATCTTATTTGATAAATGCTATAATCCAACGAAGTGCATATTATCACCCCCATTTTTTAAATTAAGGAACTGAGAGGGCTCAGGGAGGTTAAATGGCTTGTTAAAGCTCACACCTCAGAAAATTAGAAGTGCTCCAAGTCAGAAATATACACAGTCCTGTCTTGCCATTCTTCTTCAATTTGATTTTCGAAAGAGTCTAGGTATGAAGAAGAATTTCAAAGATATTGAACATAGACATCATATTTATTTTTTTTTCAATTTTATTGAGGTCATATTGGCTTTTAACATTGTGTAATTTCAGGTGTACATTATCATATTTCAGTTTCTGTAAAGCTTGCATGGTGTTCACCACCAATAGTCTAGTTTTTATCTGTCCCAATACACATGTGTCCCTTTACCCCTTTCACCCTCTTCCCACCCCCTTTTCCTCTGGTAACCACTGATCTTTCTCGAGAAGTTGGCTGCTCTCAGCCAGAATAGAAATTTAACTTGACATTCCTAGAAATTAATCCTATCTACCAAGCAAACCTAATATCTCCTATGAGGCTCTTCACTTCTTAAAGAAACATAGATCTTACATATGTATGAGATAAGAGTGTTAAACCTTTCCTAGTTGCTTGTCTTTTTTATTTATATTTTTATCAAAGTAACACATGCACCAGGTTTCCATGTCAAATAATGCTACGTCTTAGAACAAAAATGGCAGCCCCTGTCCCAGGCCTGTCACCTCTGCAGAGGAGCCACCTGTAATGCTTATTCACCTTCATATTGCCATATAGCAAGTTTACTTCTCTGTTTTTGATTGTTTTATTTTAGACATTATCTTTTGAGCATGATGTAAGGAAAGATTTAGGTTTCTAACACTTCATATGCCCACACACACACTTCCGCTCCTTCTAAATTTATATTTAATTAATTTAGGAGAAATTACTGAGACATACTATGTACTCAGCACTGTTCTAGGCAATGTGGGGATAAAATAGTTGCCAAAATAGATCAAATCTTTGCCCTCATTGGGCTTATGTTCTAGTGAGAGAGACAGACAAAACCAAACAAATACAGATATACACTCTCAGATAGGTAACAGCTATGGGGGTATAGAAAATGGTGGACAAGGAGCGATGGTTTCGATAAGATTATTTTTATTTAAATCAAAGTTCAGTTTTTACATTATTTTGCCTATGTAGATTTATTTAGCACTCTGCCATATGTATTATGATTGGGTTTCACTTCTTGTAAAATTTCTATTTTCCCTGGAATTAATCACTGCTTTGGCAAGAGGGTTGGGTGGGATATTGGTTTCCCTCTCTTTCTATGGCTAAATCATTGGCAGAGTCTCTTCTAGGTTGTAAAATTCTTAGAAGAGTCAAACAAAGCAATAAACCTACCAGTTCCACATCCTGCCCACACCCTCTGCCTCCTGCTTACTCCACGGCTCTCCTTCGCCATCCTCTTGAGAAATCCCTTCGCGTATCTCGTGTCCGAGGCCCTCTTACTTGATCTATGTCTTCCTCTTTCTTAGTTTAAACCCTCCTTTTGATGGGACGCATCTCCTCCAGCAGTTTCCTGGGGAAAGGTTTAGGAGAGGTATATTTTTTTGGAAAATTTTGGTTGAAAACATCTTCATTCTCCCCTCACACCTGAGTGTTAATTTGTGTGAGTAGAGTATCTTAAATTGAAAAACATTCTCCTTTAGAATTTTGAAGACATTGCTCTGTTATCTTCCAGCTTCCAATGTTGCGCTTGAGAAAGTCAAATGCCATCTTGAATTTTTAATCCTTGCTATGCAAACTGTCATTTTTTTCCTTTACACAGACTTTTAAGCCAGTTTCTTTAGGGCTGGATCTGCAATCTTGGAACAGGGTACCTTGGTATAGCTCTGTCTTCATCAGCTGCTAGGCACTCAAAATCTGAAGTTCATGCCCTTGGACTCTGTAAAGCTTCCCTTGTATCATTTTATAATCATTTCCCCCCTTCCTTTTCTTTGCTTCTCTTCTGACATATCTATTAGTCAGCCATTGGGCCGCTTGAGCTGATTCCCTAAATTCTTTCTGGTCTTTGTCCTTTTTGTCCTTGTTTTCGTTTCCTTTTAGGAAATTTCCTCAACTTTCCATTTGAGCTCCTGTGTTGAATTTTTCCCATCTTTTTAAATAAAAATTATGAACTTTACAGCAAAGTTGGAAAATCTTACAGGAAATACCCTGTTGTATTTGAATTTTAAAATTTCCAATATTAATTTTTAATTTTCAATATCTTTTTATAGTTCTCTGGCTATTTCTACATAGAGCATCTTGGTGCTATTTTATAGATGTGGTATTTTCTCTTACCTTTCCAAGGAATTTTTTCTTTTAAGTTTTATTCTACTCTTTATCTCTGTTTCTTCAAGACTACTTCTACTTTTCTCTTTGCTTCCATCCTTCTCTTTTATGTTAGCCCTTTCCTCAAATGTCTGGTAGTCCTTGGCTATTTGTTCACATTAAGACTGAAGAATGGCTGAACAGATCTACCAGTTTTCCTTTCTTTTGGAGACCATCCAAAAGCAGCAAAAAGAATGGAAAATATTAAAAACACCATTTTTAGTAAAATTAGGCGAGAGACTCCAAAATATTTTCAAAGGAAACCAAAAATAGCTGATTTTGCACTGAAGCCCTCTAAGGGTAAGTAGAAACCAGCTGAGGTGAAATTTCAGCGGGAAGAAAGACCACCAAAACAGGTCTCAGATACTGCCCACAATGATACTATTTACTGATGGTGGGCGGAATGCACCAAGGGCTCAGAACTATTTTCCTTGATCTCTGGAGGGTATGGAGGTTGAGAAGACCAAAGTGAGACAAAAGCCCTCTCCTTCACCCACTGTTTTAAGAGAAGCAGAGGAGGCAAGGTTGCCTGAAGTAGTATAGAAAAATCATATTTGAAGAAATCAGATTTCTTCTTTGTGATAACTGAGAGCTTTTGGTTGTAAAAATCTGCTAGCTTGGAAAGCTGCCTTGGTTCTTCCACCCTCCTGCAAGTTACTGGTCTGAGAAACAACTCGTTCAAAGGCAAATATATACATATCCAATCTAATTTTATAGGTATATATTTATACCCAATCTAATTTTATGTCTATAATCTATCTATCCAAACACACGCACAAGACATTATACCCAAACAAAGGAGAAAAAGAAAAGCAAAATTTTAACAGATAAGGTACATTCCCTAACATATGCTCCATAGAGAAGCTGAGAATACTCAACGTCCTGGACCAGTGTCAGACAGCAATCTTTGCTATGTCTGTTTCGTGGAATCAAACTTTCCCTCAGGGGAGCTGTCCCGAGGACTTGACTGGGAGGCAGAAAATGGGATGGGAATAGTAATGAGCGCTTTGGGCCACAGATTTACAGCCACTATCTCCAATCAGCTTATCAGTACTAAAAACTGACATTCTGATCTCCATCTGTCACTTTCTTATGTCTAATTTCTCATTAATTTGGACTCAGAAGAAGTTGCTACTTATTGGTCCATTCAAACACCAAAATACATAATTAAATAAGAAATAAGATGCAGTGTGTGCTGTAATCATAATGGGGAAATGTCCCAGCGAGGCCTAGTCCTGTTCCTAATGATATGAGCAAGGTAGAACTCGGGTTAAATGGTGTCTCTACTCTGGTCTGCATCCTGTTCAACAGAGTGAGGTGCTAAGACTCTATTCGGCCCTCTAGCTTCCCTTGGATAGTAATTTAAGTGTGGGTAGACCTGGAAACTAGTAACAACATCAGCCACCAATATCCTGAGACAGATTGCCTGGCCCAGGAGACTCTTCTCTAAATCAAAGTCGTGGGTTAAGCAGACATGGATGCTATGAACCGTTCTTTCTCTCTGTGTTCACTGATCCCAAATACATGTGTATCTTTCATTTCCATTGGCTCCTGTGTGTGGGTTTTGGAAGACTGGGATGAGAATATTTACTACTGGATTCCCCAAAAGTCAGCTCAGGCACCAGTATTGTAGGAGCAATAAGAAAAAGATTTCTGGAAAGAATTTGATATTTAAAAATACATATATATATCTCAACATCATCTTTGTGGG